CAAAATCCCGCACAAAATCTGCCTGCAGCCTCCCTGCCGTGGTTTCACCCCCCCCAGAAACAACCCCACCTTCACAATCGCTCACTGTCCCAAAATGCTGTGGTGGAGAGATCTCTGTCCCTGTGGCACCGTTCGAGCCTCGGTTTTAAAACACAAGCAGCCGGTGCCGCCAGCTGGCACGGCAGCAGAGGACGGTGCCTGCTGCCAGGCAGGATGGATCTGGGAAAACCCGTTGGTCCCCCTGTTCCTCCCCCGTGCCCCCACCATGCCCAGGATCTGGCTCAGCCTTCTGTGCCCAGGGCTGGCCCAGCAGCATGGGGTCTGGACAGCCCTCCCCACCATCCCTCTCGGGGACGGGCAGGCGGGTTTGGAGTTGGTGCCAGGCAGAAGCCAAGCCCAGGCGCCTCTGGAGCCCGGCCCGCGGGCGTGGAGCTGCTGCAGGGGATGCAGAGGAAGGAGTTGGGGGGCCTGCAGCCTGGGCAGGGTCCCATGCTCCTCACGGTCCCCAGGGTCTGGTGATACAGGACAACCGGAGGAGAGGGGCAGGATGGGGCTGGTCCTGCCCCTCTTTGTGGGGACTGCACCCCAAGGGGCTGATCCAGCTCCATGACCTCCAAAGAGCATCTTTGCATCTCACTGGAGCTTTGACCTGGCTAAAATAGCTTGTCTGCTCGCATCCACTCCCCTCCACCTCTCCTTCAGCACGCGGAGGAGCAAGCAAGGGCTTGCTTGCACAAGGCCGTGGCCATCCTGCTCACTCTTCCCATGCTTGCAAGGAGAAAGGAGCCAAGAAATGCCAGCAGCTGCCCGTGTCCAAAGGCAAAGAATAACTCCGAGCAGGGGCAGCTCCCAGCCGTGTCCCCTCCCCGCTCCCGGGGGGTGCTGGCTGTGGATGCAGCAGCAGAGAAGGTGAAAGTGGCTCTTTGTGCAGCTGAGCCTGGCACCGGTTTGCGGAGGGACAGAAGGAGCAGCACAGGGCAGTTTGCGGGAGTTTGACAGGCTGCAGGCTGGGGGACAGGGTGTGTGTCCAGCACCGGGCTGGGGCTGGGGTGTGAGTCCCTCCAAGGACCCCACAGCAGGGACTGGGGTCTGTGGACCACCCAGCAGCCCAGGGTCCTGCCTGGCAGATACGGGGTCGCCCTGTCCCCACCTCCCACCCTCAAAATGATGCTTCCCCTTGGTTTTGTTTAGTTCAAAGGCCAGATGCAAACTGTTCTATCCAGGGCCCTACACATCAGTTTTTGTCAGCTTCGCCTGCTTCCTCAGCCTCCTCCAGCGACCAGCGCCTTCTCGGAGCACCCCAGGCAGCTTGCAGAGCTTTTATTAAAACAGCTTCCTCGCTCACCCAGTACCCAGCACAGCTGATACCAAGCAGAGCCGACAGCTGCTTGTTAAACCCTCTTAAAGGCTGGGCAGGGCAACCCCACCTTGCTGTCCTTTGTGGGGAAAACAGGGCGAGTGGTCTGGGACACAGACTGGTTAGGGTTAAAGGAGAGAAATACCCCGCGCAGGGAGAGAAAGGCCAGTGCCCATCAGAAAGTCCGTGGGCTGGGAACGGCTCACACCGATTCACTGGGCTTCTCTGGCAGAGAGACCTGGGCTGAGCTGGGCTCTGACGATGACTTGGTGGCTCACGCCCGTCCACACCAGCCCAGCCGGCTGCAGGAGCTCGCAGCAGCCACTGGACCCTTCTCTCCTTCAGCTCGTGGCTTGGCATCGGGTGACAGAAAGCATCCTCCTCTCCCTGACTCCTGCGATCATCTCTGGCTCATCCTTGCTCTCCCTTCCCTCTGTCTCCATAACAAGCCTGGTTTTCTCTAAACCATTGACTACCCTTCATGGGATTCTTCCGTACGAATTTTTTCTGACCGGTCATCTTGCTTCCAGCTTTCCCTTCCCTTTTGTAACCAGCCTGGCTACTCCATGCTGCTTTCTAGCCTCTTGGCTGCAAAGCTGCATAGAAGATTTGCTGCAAGCCTGCCTTCTCTGCTGCAGCCCCGCGCCGGTCGTTTGCCTGTAAGTGCCCCAGCCCGGGACATCCTCGCTGCCACCGGCTGGCGGGAGCCCAAGCACCGCCACCATCATGGTCCTGGTGTCTCCTCTGGCTGATGCTGTCCGTGCTCTCCCCTTCCAGGATATCTGCACAAGGTGCTGAGGAACCACACCACCCACACCTGCGATGGGGAGCAGCTCCTCATCATCTGCCCTCGCAAGACCACCATCAGCATCCTTGGTGCCTTCTATGGGCGTCGTGTGCCTAGCCCCAACCTCTGCCCCAGCCCCGGCAATGTGTCCCAGGAGAGCACCGAGTGCATGTCAGCCACTGCCCACCTGGTAAGGGGGGGTCACAGGGGACCGGGCTGCAAACCCCTCCTTCCCCAGATCGCTGGGCTGCCTGCTTGGCTTGGGAGGGGGCAGGCAGCGCAGCTTCCCCGCGCCCTGAGGAAGGCTGCTGCCATCAGCATTGGCATTCACCCTTGGGGTCCCTTTCCCGGGACGTTTTGGGGAGATAAGGGTGGACGAGACCTTCTGCGGTGGGTTCCAGGGTGGGGCAGCCCCACCAGAGACGCCTGGCAGGAGGCCCTGCTGCGTCCTGAGCTGGCTTTTGGAGCAGTCCCACAGAACGCAGCAGGCTCAGGGAAAGCCCTGGCAGCTGGGGCTGGGTCCCGGCACAGGGGTGATGCAGCA